CCCCATTAAATCATATACATCTTTCCAGCCTCATCAACATCAGAGTTCCTACTAAATAAATGACACAAAGTCTGAGTATCAATAAATAAATAAATTAACACATGAAAAAATAATTGAAATTGATTTATAGATATTTTCCACATATAAAGGTACTTCTAATGAATGTGAAAAAAAGATGCTTTATATAATGAAGAAAATACTAGATGTGGAGCAAAAAAGACATAAATTCACAGTTTGTCTTTCATTATTTTACTCAAACATATAATTTAACCTTCGCAAGTTTTCATTTTCTCTCCTAGAAGTTTGGAAATTATGAGGGTTAATAGATAGCATATGTAAAAGATATATCCCAGAATTATATATAAAAACGCTAATAAAATATTTTTCTTTCTTTTTTCCTTTCTATCTTCTTTTATTACCTTTCTATCTTCTTTCCTTCTTTGCTTATTTCCTTGTTTTAACAAACAAGGTAATAGAAAAAGTCACCATAATCACCCTAAGTTATAGCTAACGTTACTCTATTTCTTTACCTTAAGACTTCATCCTATACACAATCTTGTCTACTCCTCCAGATGCTTTACCCACTATTTCCTTCCAATTTTTCAATATTATTTGTTTGTTCACCCTAGTTTTACAAATAACTCAACAGTTTTGGATTATAACATAAGTGGAAAGGCATACCTAATTATCATTTTTCAGATAGTCTAAATGTACTCCAAAGATTTCAGGTCATTTATTTTCTTCAGTCCACTTACAAAATTCAGAAGACTCAATCTCAAAATGAGTTTCACATTCCCCAAAACATAGGTCTGCTGCATAGAAGAATGTAATATCCCATCCCCTAGTCATAGCACAAGACATTTATGAAGATGTTTAAGTAATGTTCCACAACTAGAACGTTCTCAGTGTATAACGTTCTTCCTTTCATTCTCTGAAAATTTTAAACCAGCAACAAAAGACTTACCAGTTCATTCCTCAGAAGGATGGTCATTGTTCCTCTGCCCCAGGGCCTGGCTAGCAACCGTTATGACTCTTACTAATAGGCTCCTTTTCCTAGTAACCAAAATTAATGTCGATGTCTTAATTGGTAACTTTATTACCCAGTACCCTAAAGATCTATCACCACATTGCTCCTGACACAAATTCAGCCTCTACTCAATTAACATCAATGATCCCAGGGGTAAATGGACTTCAAGTCTTTTTTTGCCAAATAATAAACTGAGGAGTTGACACTGGAAAGTATTTCTTTACATGTTTTAGAGCAAAAAAGAGGAAAAGGTCCTTGGTCTTCTTCCTATAGTTTATGCTTTTTTGAAAACAATAAGGCCCTTCTTCATTGATCCTTTAGCTAGAGACTGTATTTCAAGAGGAGAAATACATTTTAAGAAATGACAGGAAAATAGATTGATGTGGCCCTTCAAATCCAGTGAGAGCAGCAAAGAGCAAAACTGGAAGTTGAGACATCATGCAGGAATACTCGGTTGCAGAACCCAGAAATATCACATATGCATTTTTTTAAAATTCCCAGGCATGTATTTAGTTTCTAGCTTCTGCTATGAATTGTGTCATATTCACATAATGCAAGATCAAATAATTGATATTTTCTATCTTAGTTTTTTAGATAAATGTGTGGCAGATATTCACTACTATGCTACACCTTTTTGTTTTGCTAATGTTGACATGTATTTATTCATTTTAAGGAGAAAAAAGATAAACAAACAATGAAATCAAGTTACTGAACAGGTTAGTAGTGCACTTACAATAGTTGATACATTGCATATTGTTTCTGTAGTAGTTATTCAGAGTATAGTATATAGGCACGATATCATGCAGCCCTACATGTGTAAAAACTATTGTGTCACTACTCTGAGAAACTGAACAAGTAAATAGGATCTGACAACCTCTGTCTTAAGAAATTAAACCCCCGTTGGAGGCAAAAGAAAAAGATCAGTGTTTTCAAACTCCCACAATGAGGGTGAAGGAAGGAAGTTTAGAGGTGTGTGTCACTATGGAGATATATAGCAAATAATCATGAGTTACATTGTAGAGTCAACAACTGCATGGAGAAAGTTACATTTAAATGAAGTTTTAAAATCTAATAGTCAGAAATATAGTAAGAATAAATAAATTTTAAGAAAGTGTAAAGTTTAGGAAACATTAAACAATATATTGATTTGAACAGCAATTCTTTGGTATAAATTTTAATTTAAAGAGTTATAATTTACCTTCAAATCTGTTAGGAACTATTTAAGATTTTATAATCTGGAATGTCGTCTGATACTTTCATTTTAGAAAATGATGATGACTAAGATAATAAATCCTTAACTACAGTTCAGGTTATGCTAGACATTGCTCTAAATGCTTATCGTATTACATAATTTACAATTCACAACAACCCTAAAACCTTCTTGTCAAAAGTGTGAATACATTCCATACCATTCCATACCATACAGTCCAACTTGATGCTCTTGTAGTGATTCAAAAAAGACAGGATTATATTGTGGAAATGGAAGCAGAATCCGACAGAGGAACTTTTAAGGAAGAGAGCCTTCAGAAATGTGCCAGTTGATTTAATGTATCGTGAGAGGATTTAGAAGTAAGAGATAAGGATGATCTCTATGCATATGGCCTGACTTCCTGTAAGTATGGAATTAATCTTTACCTGATTCAGTGTGAAGATGGAAGAGCAAGCTTGGGGACACAAGATAAGAGGACCATTTGTAAGTCAAGCAGCTCTGTCATGTGAGGAGCTAAATAGGGAACTGAATAGAAACACTCATGTTTAACATACAAATTCATGCCTTCAGGAAATTCAAATTCAGTGAACAGAAAAGTAAGGAAAGGCAGTTGTACCCAACAACCCAAGGGCAAAAAACAAAAATAGACAGATAAGACTGCATCAATCTTACAAAACACACAGTAAAGGAACTACAATCAGATTAACCAGGGAACGGATGGAATGGCAGTACACATTTGTTAATCATGCATCTTTTAAAGGGTTCACATTCCAAATATATACCTGACATTTATTATTTGATTTCTTGAAGTATCACAAGGAATTTTAAAGACTCAAATAATAGAAGCAAAAATGGAATGATGACAGAAGGCCACAGGCAGGGTAAGAGGTGTGGGTGGTTTGAGGAAATGATAGCCAAGTGGTATAAAGATCAGTTAATGTAATATGTGCCATGACAACATACTTAATAACAGTGTATTGTCTATCTGAAAATAGCCTATCGATTCCAGTTGTTTCCATCACAAAAAAATATGTATTTGAGGAGATATATATATGCTAATTAGATTGATTTAACCATTACATAATGTGTACTTATTCTAAAATATCCTGTTATACACAGCAAATACATATAGTTTTACTTGTCAGTTAAAAATATGAAGATGTTACACTAGACTTCTTTGCTTTCCTCTAAAATATTGAAATCTTTGTTGATTCATTGTTATGTGTATTTTGCTTTTCTCCAATAGAACTTATCCAAATAACATTTTTTACATGATGACTTCTAATAGGCTTTCCAGTTATATGTTAAATATCAACTCCTCTAATCAACCAGTTTCTCTTCATTCGATCCAAATGAGTTGTCTTTCATTGTTCCCTCTTTTGACTCCTGCATGTAAGATTCATTCAGAGACTGAATTTGAACACCTGATATGGTATTTTTCTGAATTTACTTGCCTACTAGGAAGTCTTGAATGAGATCATGATTTATGAGGCTGGAGGTCCAGTATATTTCATTTAAAATAATTTTCCACTAACTTGTGTACTATCTGGAAGTACTATCTAATACAAATTTAAGAAAGAATATACATTTTTTAAAATGATAGAGTATATCTGTATACTAAGAGAACACAAAGAAATCAGAATTTAATCCCACCAGTGAGTGCAAGAGACACAAAGGAAGTTTACATTGATAGCTGAGACTGTCTTAAAACATAAATATTAAGTAAATAAGAGTAGCTATTTAAAAAGAAAAACAGCATGTGAGAATATAGAATCATCTCTAAGAGATGAGAAAACAGTAGGTTAACTAGAATATACAACTAGGCAAATAAAGAAAATAAATAATATCTTTGGAAATTCTAATTATAGACAGGTAGGCAGAGACTCAATGATAAAGCTAATAAAAGGCATTTGACATCATCTTATATGATTCAGGGAGTTGTTAGTAAATATTCCCATGGGATTGCTAGAAATTCTGGGACTCCAGTTTTCTTTTTGTAAATATCAACTCAAGCTCCTTACTTGGGATTGCTTGAGGTATTTTAATAATTTATGCAATATTAGTAGCTTCTTTAGGGACTTAATAAATAAATATTCAGGGATAAATGTAGACTAAGAAAAGATGAAAGATAATATTTTAATTATCCTTCCCATCAAATAAATAAATAATTTAAATATTCAGAGATAAATGTGGGGGCTAAGAAAAGATAAAATGGGAAGGATATACATAAGCGTAGAATAGAGATAACAAACTGAGTTTCCAATTTCAACTGAACAAAACAAATCCAGGCAAAGGCAAAGATACAGCAAGAAGATTCAGCCACAATATGAGTCTCTCATGATCATTTCAGAATCAATGGGATGAAGGCTGCTCATTGTCTTCAAAAAAGGGAGTGTGGAGAAAAGCTAATTTTCTGTTTCTATTCATGGAAACAATACAGTGTAGATAGTATTTTGCTCTCTTTAGTTGTTCCCAAAAGTGAAAATTGAATTTAATTCTTGTATTAGTCTTCAATTGATCAATATTTAGTATAATAAATAAAAACCAACATTTTGAGAATCTAAATGACCCCCTTCCTTACCTTCTCAAACTTGTTAGAGTACTACTAGCAAGAGAAAACCAAGATGACTGAACATTTTGCAATTTCATTCTCACATATAAAATGTTCTTTTTATAGTATAGTTGGAAAATAAGTAAGTAAATACAACAAACCACATTTTTCCTCGCACATAGCCTTATTGAATAGGTAAAAAGAATGGTTGTTTAATTAATAGGATATGAAGTCTGTCCCATTGTTCTTCGAAGGGCTGACTTGAATTCTGTATTTCTCAGACTGTAAATCATTGGATTGAACAGTGGGGTGAGAATGGTATAAGACACAGATATTAGAGTGTCTTGATTTGAAGAATAATTGGTCTTGGGCCTTAAATAGATGAAAGAGGCACAGCCATAGTGAACAATGACCACTATGAGATGGGAGGCACAGGTGGAGAAGGCCTTGTACCTTCCAGCAGAGGATGGAATTTGTAGAATGGCTGAGATGATACGGACATAGGAGATCAGGATGAGTAACAGTGGAATAACTAAGACGAATACACCTAGCATGAATATGATCAACTGACTGAGGCGGGAGTGCTGAGATGCGAGTTTGAGGACAGGGGAGATGTCACAGAAAAAGTGATGGAGCTGGTTAGAGGAGTGGAAGGGCAAGTGAAATACCAGGGAGGTGATGACCACAGAGACAATAAATCCACAAGCACAAGCAGCAAACACTAATCTCACACATACCCCAGGTTCCATAAGCATTGCGTAGTGCAGAGGGTTACAGATGGCCACGTAGCGATCATAACCCATGGCTGCCAAGAGGAAGGAGTGGGAGCAGCCAAGGAAGAGGAAGGTGGACATCTGGATGGCACAGCCCAGGAAGGAGATGGTCTTCTTCTCAGCCAACAAGTCAACCAGCATCTTGGGTACAATCACAAATGTGTAACATGTTTCAGAGCAGGAGAGAATGGACAAGAAGAAGAACATTGGGGTGTGAAGGGCTCTGTCCAGCACAATGGTGGAAATGATGACAGCATTGGCACCCAGAGTGAACAGGTAGAGGAGCAGGAAGATAACAAACAGCAGCTTCTGGAGGCTTGCCAGAGCTGAGAAGCCCAGGAAAACAAACTCTTTCACCTTGGTTTCATTGATCTTCTCCATAGAGAGAGCACTTCTATATCGCAAAGTCATGGACAGAGGCAGAGTCTGGGATCCAGAGAAAAAATGCTGAAATGTATAAGAAACACAATACAAAGTCTAGAGATAGCAGGCATTTCCAGATATTTGGTAGGATTCCTTCATTCTCACTATGAACTCTAAAAGAAGAATTAATGTTAAATATGAAACAGAATCAGGGAACTCAGTTGGGTGGTTCCCTTTGATGTGGAGAAGAGGTTATCTCTCTTGCCAATAATTAAGAAACTATTTCACAATTCTCCTTTTTATCTTTCATACACATTATTGTTGTCTTCTTGCTCAGTATAAGCTCAAGAAAATCCTGTGTGCAAAGACAAAAATTAATATTAAACTTAGTTACCTGAATCTGATCAGAATTTAGAGCAAAAGAATGAATACTCTTCAGACACATAGTTGCTTCAGTTTTCCCAACCACAAAATGGGAAGGAAGAAGAACAATTATGTGATCTGAGTTAAGGTGTGAAGGGACTAACAGTGACTTTAGTCAAAACATGCTACAAAAGAAAAGCTTCATTTCTGAGAAACTGATAGGGAACTAATTAGCAACACTATTGAAGATCCACAATACAGAATTTCTAGTATAATGTGGCATAGAAGATAATATTCATATTTATGAAAACATTTTTCTGCTTGATAAGAAGTAGAGAGAGACTTACTACCTGTGAGATATTTTGCAGCACTCTTAAATCTCCTTATTCTGCAGTGCCTCAGAGAAAGTTGGAGAAAGGATATTGTACAAATGGCTCAGACCTTTCCAGTGTATCAGTGAGCATAGCACAGTTGAACACTTGAATGGTTTCTACTTCTTTGTCAAAATTCATCAATTGTGTATCCACTGTATATTGTTATACATTAAGACTCTTTACAACATTTTGTTACTAAAAGCAATTTGCAAAATGCTAAAAAAATGATTATTTCTAAATTCATGTTTAGATCTAAGCTAAGTACATTTTTGCATGGGTCCATTTTCCAGCCTCTTGTTCTAATAAGTATTGTTTCTGCAGATGCAAAACTACATAGCATATATTAGTATCTAGTTTTCATTTATTTACTTCTGGCATTTTACGTCAATTTGTGTTGAGAAATTATCCTCATTTGCCACCAAAATATTTTGGTTTTGTAATTTTTAGGCAATAGCAACATACTACTTTATAGACCTTAACCTAAATTATTGAATGTTTCTGAAGTACATTGTATCTAAAATCTGGACTTTGGACATAATAATATATTTTTCTTTCTTACTACAAATTGACACTACCCATAGTTTACAAACTATCTTCAAATACATACCATTACTTATTATTCCTTACTATTAATATATTAATATTACCAACCACTTTTCTTATACAATATAACTGCTACATGTAAAAATAAAGTCTACATCATTTGTATTTCCATTGCATGCATATGTATGAGTGTATGTATGTATCATCTAATTATGTTTTCTAAGTCAAAAAAGGCAACAAGTTCCCCCGCATGATAACTACTCATAGGCAAATGGAATTTATCTATTATAAAATTCTCAGTAAAGTCTAAATTTATCGCCTCTGATGATCTTTCTATTGTCACTTTCCCAAAAAATTTTCGTCCAATGTTACTTACCATTAATCCACTTCTAACTCTTACTGTGCCATCTACTTACTACGGTATAAAAATAGATCACACAAGCAAGAATTCTCCGATTCTGAAATAATAGCTATATCTTCTAATGTCAAGTAAGTTCAATTTGATTATCAGTCACTTCCGTTCCGTTCACACACACAGTCAGCTGACTCCAGACATATGAGTTTTTACATAGTATTAATACACTCCCCTATGCTAAATAGATTTTTAGATGTGCATTTGTTTTTAATGGTGTGTGAAATTCAGTTCTCCAATTCATGTGAGAAGACAACCCTATCTGCTTAAGATGACCTTAGGGGCCAAACACGAGACCAGAAACACAGAAATTCTGTTGAAGAAAATTAATTGCATGTTATAAAATGAATATGAGAGATTTCTTGATGTGGAAATGAAAATACGTACATCTTTAAATGTCTCTTTGTGTGACTTTGGGAGACATATTAATTTTTCAATCTCTTTACTGTAAAGTTAAGCAAGACTGAGTAAACATAGTGAAATAAACTGTAGGGATGTGTTAAAATACAGAAGCAGAGGCTCCTTAAATAATACTTTGCAAAAGAAGTTCAGACCTAACCAAGCAACCAAGTGCTATACTCCATAGCAACGGCTTTAATTTGAAAAGTCAGAGATCCCCTGGTTTACACGGTCTCAAAAAACCGATTTTCATTGTATTCTAGAATTCAGGTTACTATCCTTGAAGATGATACTTCTGAGTCTTATATTTCTAACTTCCCAGATAGTTCACTTGAATTTTTATAACTAAGATTTAATTACAAAAATATTTGAGGATGCCATTGTGTACTCTAAATGTGGACAATTTACAGAGATTTCATATTCTTAAATCTTGAGAAATTCTACTATTTATCTTCCCAAAATGTCAATTAATTAGCCAAAAGAAATAATTTAGACAGCTTCCAAAAGTAAGGAAGTAGAATTTTTATTCTTAATTACACAAGAAAAATGAAAATTTCTCTAATTTTCCTAACTAAAATGTAATTTAATTAACATATCTCAATTACAGCTATCAATGTACATCCATGGGTAGAAAGCTGACAGAGGTAATGAAAAGACAGACAGAGAGCACTGAAATATATGGGTCACTTAATCTGTGAGGCAACTAATGTATAGAAAAAAGAAAGAGGCGAAATCCAGCTAGTACCAATATGACCCAGTATTACAACCTAGAAAGTTCCAGAGAACCATAAATACCATTCCCATTCACATGAACACCTGAGGTAAAAAGTAGCACCTGATTCTCTTTTTTATCCCTGTGTCAGAAATGCCATTCCTAATTTCCATAAGAAATGAGGAAGGGATATTCTCAAGTACCTATCCCTCAGCTCTGGTCCTTCCAAACCCCAAAACAAAATCAGTGTACGCTGCTCAGTGAGGACCTCCATTGCTTTCATCATGACGATTCTGTAAGAAGCAGCTATTCAGTACTGGAATTACCCGGCATAGTCGAATCTCAGCCAATGATCAGAACCTGAGGAAACCGAACAAGAGAGGGAATTTGCCTAAGAGAGAAGAGCTCATGTGCATCAATGGGGCTGGTCTTCTCCATTTATTGAGACTCTTGGCTTCTCCAATTATGTCACTAGTTTTAGCGATTTTGGTGGCCAATGTGAGTTATGGTTATCAGAAACATGTGTTTTAATCACTGGACTCCTGAGGTTAAGTTCCACTGCCCTGGAGATACTGTCTTGAGTCTAATTAGCAAGCAAGTTTATTTTGAAAAAATAATGCCTTTTGTTAGTTTCTCAAAGTAGCCTTACTTGAGGTGCCTGGGGAGCAGGAGATATGGGTGTAATCAGTCTACATGTGTATTGTAAATATAGTCTGTGTGTCACAGGTTCTGAAAGAAATCCCACCACAGTTAAGAATGTAGTTCAGTAAACCAAGTGTTGATTTTTTATTGAATTTTAAATTAAGAGACTGATGTCTTTGTACAGTTGCTCTCAATGTCAGCGTTTGTAAGAATAAAAAATTAGCATAATTGAAAATTTATCTTGCAAGTTCACTGTTCTCAGATGTTATAATTTGAATTGGGTTATAAAGTAAAAACCTAAATTTTTATCAGGTAGTTCAAATCTGGTTGCATTCTATCATTAATTTCTTGTTATCATATTACTATAGTAACTATTATGCAGTAGCAAATTTCATCCTACCTAAAATATAATTAATATAATAACAATATATTCCCATCTTGGGTTCTGAAATCAACCTGAGGATGTGTAAGGATAGTACAGTTTTGAAAAGAGACAAGTGTACACAATCTCATGAATACTAGGACAATGTTTCCTCAGTAATAAAAACAGCAGGCTACTGCTACAGAGAGAGAGATACATGGCGTGAAGAGATGAGCTCTTTTCATCTTCAAATTTGTTTTATGTACCGTGTATTTGTGATCTTAGTCCTGTGCATAACAGATTTCATAAGTAAGTGACAAATATCATAATAATATAGCAAATGGTGCTGGAAGACTTGGACCCATGTCTGTGACCAACAGTGCAGAAAGAAAGGCAGGCTGGAGGAACATTGAAATGGTTTACTTGGGGGTCCAATATAGAATCAGTTCTGCAACAAAGTCTGAGAGCCATTCAAAGTAGTACATACTCTATGCCATCAATGAGTGACTGCTTTCCTTTGTTAAAGAAAACATAGACAGCTATGATTCAATATGGAGTAGAACTAAAATTATTCCATTATGACCCCTGATGACACATGCACATAAATTTGAGCCTAGTAATTAAGAAGAATTATCACCAAGGAGTGTTTCTTTTACAGAAAAAACATAAGAATGGAATTGAGGTTGCCCTGTTACTATTTCAGCCTTCTCTGATCTACTATAGAACTAATCTATAGGCAGAAATGATTAGTCAGATTATGTTTCTTAAGAAATAAAATAGAATTAGATGAACCATAGGTGTTCTAGAGGATCTCTTATTCATATAGAAGGTAATGTTTAATAAAAGAATAACACAATCTAATATGGCAAAGTAATTGATGGCTCAGACCCTTTGGGGTTGTTGATTTCCAAGCTCAGTTTGAAGGACTATTGATTGGTGGAAGAAAAATGTAAAAATATCAATGACAGCTATGAAATTTCTTACTGAAAGAAGAACAGGACCTATTATTTTACTTTCTTCTTTTCTTTATAATGCTTGTATTTTATGTATTAATCATATCCCAATTTTTTTGTAAGCATATTGTTTTATATGAAGTGTGTCAGTGTCAAAACTTATAATTCCCTCTTTAAAGAAAAGACTATCAATGAATATCTGTGCCTCACTTTTTGGAAATTAATATGCCTCCATGAGACATATTTGCATTATATTTAT